CCACCATCCCCGTCTAGCCAACACCTTTCACACCATTTCATTGCATTCCATTGCTCACATCCCACTAGGTACGTATGATTTCATTTGGATCATCCAAGAATAACAATTCAGAAAATAAGGGATTGAAAAAATAGAGTTGATATATCATGTCCTAGATATAATTAATATGGTAGTGTATAACTAATTTCGTTGCTTCAACGTTTTCAAATGGCCATTAGATTATATTGGAGGGAAGTGAGATGGGGTGGTGTTTTATTGACTTTTGTCATTGTTTGATTCAGAAAAAGTGAGACTGGTGAGTGGATATAGTGGGCCTCATTTAGTTTCTAATAAACTTAAGTATTAAAACAATTTCATATTTTAGAGAAAACAAATTTTAGGGGTATAAAAGTCATTTTATGTTGGTAGGGATCAAAATCACTAAAAATTTTCAAATTTGGACAAGTAATGCAATACCAAAGTTTTTTTGGATTGAAACCACAAAAAATGACAATCACATGGACTATTTTTGTAGTTCACTTTGTTTTTATATTGAATTAGGTTTCTTAGAATGTCCGCCATGTTATTGAACCCCAGGACTGTTTTCGATATGAGCCATTATAATTGTTAGCCAAACATGTTAATATACCATTTGGTCTTACACTTCTTCACTCGATCTTCACATGAGCATGTATACACTTCTCCACTCGAGTATATAATATTCACACTTCTTCACTAGAACATGTCTTCCCTACCATTATAACAAAGCATGTGTACCTTTCTATTCTAGAAATGGTAGATACGAATGAAAATCTCAACAAAACTAGGTTTAGTTGCACATAATTTATACTTAGATTGCATAGTATTTCAACATTACAACGAGAAGAGCAACCAACCTTCTGCACTTTATGGGGATTGATCATGTTATTCGGATCCATAACACACATATGTGCATGCATGCCACACTCCCATGTTTAGGTGAAATTTAAGGTGAATGAAGTTTTACAATCATTAGAATCTATATACATATAATTCCACTTATTTTTCACTCGTCCACCAATGTTGGATGGTTCAAAAGCCATTACACCACTTAACCAACCCTTTTAATAAGCATACTTTGGTGATTAGCTTATCATTCATTTGAGTTAAAATTTGGACATTTAATATGCCAACACAAAGATACGACAATAGAAAACAAAAATGTATAACCATTTACCCTTTTATGAATGTATAATGTTCATATATTTTTTCAAACTTTGGAAAAACCCAATTTTGGAAAATGGGTAAACTCGTCTTTCTAACATAATGGGTTTTAAGATAGTAAAATTTTAAGATATATATATATATATATATATATATATATATATATATATATATATATATATATAGAGAGAGAGAGAGAGAGAGAGAGAGAGAGAGAGTCCATGTTTTACTCTTCAAAAGAGCCTCATTGAGATAGGGTAGAGTTTAACATATATAGAGACATATGAGAATGTGTCTAGCCGATGTGGAACACACTAATACTCCTTCATAGAATAGGCTACGAGGTTATAATCCATGAGGAGCTAGCTTTCGGTCTAATATTGTGTAAGATATATGTGGAGTTCACGGTTTTACTCTCCAAAAGATCCCTTATAGAGAGGGTAGACTCCATGTTAGTGTATCCAATATCGGTAAAACGCATTCCGATATGTCATTATATATGTTGGAGTTTCTCTCTCTTCGTAAGGTTCTTTTGGAGATAATCCAAAGACTCCATGTATATCTTACATGTTATTAGATTCAACATACAACACCACCAACATAGCAGATGATTGTCGATCCTCAGATAGAGTCTTCGTCTGAGTGGTGTTAGTCAGTGGCGAGTGGCGAGTCTGGAACTACAAATCATATGGTTCACGATTTAATTGAAACCAACAGAAAATGAAAAAGAAATAATAAAAAAACTACTTGCGGGTCCGGTTCTTGTCATATTAACTTGATATAAAATTAAAAAAAAAACAAAAATAAAAAGTATTACTTTTGCTAGTATGCTCTTTTAATTTCAGTCTCTCTAATTCACATGATAAAGTTTCATACTTGGTCGTTATGTCAACAGCTAGTGAACTTAAACGAACTTTTATATGTTTATGTTGATCATTATCTTATACTTTTATTTATCATTCATTTAAAAAAACTTTAATAATGACATTTTTTATTCTAATTTCTAAAACAAATGGCAATTAACTAACACAATTCTAAAACTTGGAAGTGAATGTAATTAAAAAAATCCAAAGAACCAGTTGCCAAAATCATTGACAAATTTGCCCATGTTAGTGTGAACTTATCAAAGGTTTCCAATTTGGAAGTGAATTTTAAAAAAAGTTTTAAACAAAGACCAAAAAGATGAAAAATGTATTTTCAAAATGTCAAATGCATTAAGAAAATAGCCTCTTTTAATCAAATAATAAAGGTCTTGGTATTTGGAACTTGGAAAACAATAAACAATTGTCATTTATCAAATACATTAACAAAATCGCCAACCTCAATCAATCGGTAAAAAAATTCAATTAAGAATGAACATTAGATGTGATTAATTGAAATGTAAGTAAACAAAGTTACGAAGACCTTAAACCAATGACAAAAGTAGTACAATTTTGAATTGAGAATTGTACAAATCTGTCGGAGTGTGAGTCTGGTCAGTCGGTGGTGTTGTAGGAATAAGGCAGGCAGGCGGCCGACATGAGTCGGTTGGTTGATGGCGCTGAGAGTGTTTAGTGCATCAATCACATTCACAATAACCTTCAAAATCGTTTTAATTTCCATATTTTTACCCTTTTCTGTTTAATTACAAATTTTTAATAGGCCATTGTTTTTTTAGCTTACTAGACATGGATCCGCTATTTGATTGGGTATTGAAATATAAATTTTAGGCTTCTAAAATTTTTTGTTCCTTCTAAATATCAGGTAGTTCACTCAAAATTTGTAAGTTGGATCATAATTATTTTATTAAATAAATCTATATAATGTAAAAAATTAGGTGGGTTAGAGGATCCACCTTCATCAAACATAGATTCATCATTGATGTTAGTGTAGCACACATCAATGTGACAAGGTTCTATATGTCACTATATATGTCGGACTTTACCCTCACTCCACAAGGTGTTTTTTGGAGACCAAACTAGTAATTCTACATATATCAAACATATGGGACAATATCTAGCTAATGTGGGACATACGAACTATTCCTTCTAAAGAGGTAATAAACCAAAGGTAATCTGTATGTGTCTAAAAAGAATTAAGGAAAGAACATTTCATGTTGTAGTAAGCAAGAATTAATATAACTTTTTTGTTGGTTTTGCAGGGTCCGGAACTAATTGGACGTTAAAACTTGGTAAGTTTTTACAATTATCTTATATGATTTAATTTAGGATTTACAAAAGGTTGTCGTCATTGGAGATTTATGTTGCCGAAACTAAAAGTATTTGTATCCTCAAAAGAAATTCGAAAAGGAAAAAAAAGATAATGTTTGTGGACACATGTTGGCTTGCCATTAAAGTTATTATAAGATTAGAAGGTTTTCTAGGTGTTTTAACTAAAACAATAAACTTTTTCTTTGTCGCAGTTCTCGGAATTGTATCAGCATTTATGACGATTACGTTGGTACTCATAGTATATTGCATTAGCAAATTCTCACCAAGCAATTGTGTTGCATTATTTAAGCATCAAACTGAGGACGAAAAAAGTGTTGAGGCCTTTGTCATACAATATGGATCCTTAAGTACGAAAAGATACACTTATGCTGATATTAAGAAGATGACAAATTCATTTAGAGTCAAATTAGGACAAGGAGGTTTTGGTACCGTGTTTAAAGGAAAGCTATCGGATGGACGTCTTGTGGCAGTAAAAGTTTTAAACTCATCGAAAGCAAGTGGACAAGAATTTATAAACGAAGTTGCAAGCATTGGTAGAACTTCTCATATTAATATAGTTACTCTTTTGGGATTTTGTTTTGACTCTAAAAAAAGAGCTCTCGTATATGAGTTCATGCCAAACGGATCATTAGAAAAGTTTATACATGGTCATGTTCCTCTAAACACAAGAGAGCATATAGGAGTACAAAAGTTGTTTGATGTAGCCCTTGGAATAGCACGAGGTCTTGACTACTTGCATCGTGGCTGCAACACTCGAATTTTGCATCTTGATATAAAGCCACATAATATCCTCCTTGACGAAGATTTTTGCCCTAAGATAGCAGATTTTGGGCTTGCAAAATTATACTCTAGGAAAGAGAGTATTGTTTCCATGATTGAGGCTAGAGGCACCATTGGGTATATTGCCCCTGAAGTTTTTAATAGAAGCTTTGGAGGAGTCTCCCACAAGTCTGATGTTTATAGTTATGGGATGTTGATACTAGAAATGGTTGGAGGAAGGAAAAATGTTGATGTTGGTGTTGGTTCTGGGCATACGAGTGAGATATATTTTCCTTATTGGATTTACAACCGCCTAAAGAAGGAAGAATTCGTATTAGATGGTATAATAAGTGTAGAGGAAAATGATTATGCTAGAAAGATGACAATAGTTGGTTTATGGTGTATACAAACTGATCCAAAGCAAAGGCCGTCGATTAATGAAGTGATTGAAATGTTAGAAGGAAGCTTGCAGGCATTGGCAATTCCACCAAAACCGTTCTTTTCTTCTCCTCCACGATCAACACCCACTGCATTTAGCACATCGCAAGAAGTGAGCGGTGAGTACTGTATTTCACAAATGACATGATATTAACACAATCAAACTGTATTTTTATGTGATAGCTCCACATTTTCTAGAGGGAAAGTGATGTAAAATTTATAATTTTCTAACAATTGGAGGTATCTTCCTATGCTTTAAGTTTTTTTTTTTTTTTTTTTTTTTTTCAAACGCTTTTTGTGGTTCATTACGACATCTTCAATTGTGAAAATAGTAGGATACCCCCGCGATGCAGCGGCGCCTGATAATTCATTTTGGTCGATAGTTTCCATGCAGCGACTGTTATCCTTTTTAAGTCAATTAGTTCATTTTAATCTTTTTTATGGGTTATTTTGTGTCAAATAACTCTTTCCGGCAAATAGTTTCTAAATATGTGTCTAATAGCGGGGTCCGAATAGTTTACTTTCCGTTGTCATCTATTGTTCTGGATTTAATTTTTGATTATTTGGTTGCTATGTGTTTTTTGATGCTTAAGTGTCCTAAACTTCAGTTTTAGGATAATTTACTTTGAAAAATAAGCCTAAAAGAGTACAAAAATCAAATTATAATGCTTTTATTAAAAGAGCTGAAAATATAATTACAATGCTTTTATTAAAAGAGTTGAAATATCATGTTTAAAAACACAAAGAATTAGTGGAGGTAAACGGATTTTACATTAAAAATGAACGTAGTAAGTACTGTAGCGTAATATAAATTTTTACTTTAATTAAAATTGAAAATTTAACTTAATTATTCATTAAAAAACAAAAGTCATATTTATATTTAAAAAGATTTGATATTCGTACACATTTAAATTGAAATTAAGATAATGGGGCTTGAATTAGTAATCGAACTAACCGTGATTGCCGACATAATGATCTATTGTTTATCCGAATATTTATAAAAGATATTTAAATTATAAAATTAACAGCTTGCAATAAATAAAAGTTAACGAAAATAAAATAGGTCGCACTACAAATTATATTGCAAATAAGTGAATAACTATATATTGTTATAACTATTTATAAATATTAAAAAATAACATGATAATAAAATCAAAAAAGTTAATAAAATGTACAGATGACAATCAATAACATACATGTATAGATTAGAGGGGCTAGGAGCTTTTTGAAGTTATCTTTCCAACACAATCTTTATCATTTTTTCAATTTTATATCACGACTGCCACGCTCTTTCTTTATAATTATTTTAAAGCCAATATTATAGAATAGAAGTATAATCAGTAATTTAAACATTCACACGTCATATACCTGTATAATATAAATTTATCATCGCTAAATACACAATAAGATTATGTAATATATATATTTATTTTAATATATTAAAAATTTACTATTGTTTTTCTATAAATAATGTTTTTTGAAACCATTCAAATATCCCTTTTATCTTAAAACCAATCTAATCAAAAACTTTTTCTTTTCAAGAACTACTCTCCTATCAAACTCTCTTTTCTTTTTTGCTTGACCTTTCGTTTTATTTCGTATTTGAAGTTTATATTTGTAATAGTTTTATTTTATAGAAAACTTAGATATTTATAACTTTAAAACAGGAAAATGATATACTGAATTTGTAAATAATTTATTTTCACATAATATAATTTATAGTACTCCATTTACTCATATATAGTTTGTATTTACCTCGCAGATCACTTAAAATTTTAGTAAAAATGTATTAATTTAAGGTTTTGTATATTCACTTAATATAAACTATAATTAATATAAACAAATAACTTAATTTTAATATTAAATAATTATTAATGATTATGTCTAATTACAATAGTGTGGTTCATTTCCATTTTACTTTTCCGTGTAAGTTATTTGCTCGTAAACAAAAACTTTATACATTAGAAATGTTAGAAATGCCAATGTGGGATTAGCCCACTAGGTAGAGATGGATGCTTCTTAGACAGGAGGTTTTGGGTTTAATAACTTGATGAATTTAATATCTAAAGTCTAAACTAAGCTGAGTGTTCAAAAAAAAAATGTTAGAAATGACTTTTGAATTACTTTGGAAAGAGTTTCTTATATATAATTTAAAGCGTCACGTCATTTCTTTTTCCGGGGATACATCATTTGTTATAGATTTAAAAAAGAAACTTAGAAACACATGCCAGTTTCTTTCATGTTCACCACAATTCAAGTGTCATGCTCGCCGTTCCAAAAAAAAATAAAAATAAAAAGTACGTTCGGTAATCTTGATTTACTTATCAAAACAATATATTTTCATTTTAAATGTATTAAAATGTTTATTTTACCTATCTAATTAATCAAAATATATATACATATTATTATATCAAAATGAGATATTAAATGTTTAATGGAATATGTAATCTTATACTGACTATGACATAAATTATTTTTTAATCTTCTTTTTTATGACATTCTAAATATTAAGCATAATAATTCCACTGTTCAATGAATAATTAGTTTATAAGAAATTTTATCATCTTTTGTTATTTGCTTCTTAATTCATCACGAGACATTGCAAAATAAAAACACAAAAAGCAACATATGAAAATTATAAACATCGACTCACAATACATTACAGATCTGAAAACTTATGAACATAATACAAACTAAACCGGCCTTATGTTGTCGTATTTAGATCCATGTCTTCAATGACTTTCTCCCAAAGATATCATTTTAAAATTTATACATGGGCCATATCAAAATAGTTATATATAGAAAAACAATCAAAGTTGCCTTTTACTGAACAACAGACTTGCAAACAATAAGATAGATAAAACACCAACTCCTATAGCAAAACCTATCTGGTACTAAACAACACCAAAGATTTCAAAACCCTTTTTCATTGCACAATAGCAAAACCTATTTCTTCCACCTTCTCGCATTTTTGTTCTTTTCTTCTTTTTCCTTTGATTTTCTGGTAACAGAAGGTGGAGGAGGTTGAGATGAATGTGAGACGGTGGTGGTTTTCCGGTTTCAAGCCTACAAAACATATAAAATATGATCAATAACCTAAAACAACGAAAATAAAAGAAATAAAAAACCAATATCTAGATCTAGAAAAGATATTGAAGATCCACAATCGGGTTTTTAGTCATATCTTGGGGAGACAGAGAGAGAAAGAGATACATGGAGAGAGTTGTTTGTGTTAGGTGTCGTGGTGGTACTTTTAGGAGAGAATGCAGAGGTACGGTGGTTGCGGTCCTTAATAGCGTCGATGTGTAATGTTGGTGGTGATATCTCGATATGGCTGAAGGTGTTGAGGTCAGAAGTGGCTAACAGTGTTCATGACGAAGTTGCCTAATAATGATGAAGGTGGTTGTTGGTGGCAACGGTAGAGGTGACTGTAAGGGGGTGTTTGGATAGGAAAAAAAGAGGTGCTTATTGCTTATTCCCACAATAAGCTAATTTAAGTGTTTGGATAAAATCCAGCTTATTAGGCTAAATAAGCTAATTTTAATAAGCATACATCCTCATGCTTATTGCTTATTCCCACTACAAATAAGCTAAAAATGTAATCCAAACACCCCCTGAGTAGGGGGTGACTTTAAGATTTTTAAAGAGAATACATAATTTTGAATGGGGGTTGATTGGGAACAAAAGAGTTTAAATGGAAGAGTTTCTAGCAAAACAATAGAGTGCTAGTGTATTGGTTGTGTTCTATATATATTAAAACATTTTATGTTGATCGGTTAGTATTTAGTTACATGGATCACCACAAAAAAAAAATCTAGACCACTGAAATTATATCAAATGGTTCATAGTTGATCTCTTTAGTTTTAAGACTCTGGTCTTAAAATTTGTAGGTTCTACTATTATTTATGTATTAGAAAGTAGTAAGATATATAGAGGGTGAGGTTCAATAGAGAACCATAATTAACCAATGAATCAAGGAACCAATCTTTTTTTCAACATTTAGAACTTATTTTTTATATAAAAAAAAACTAAAAATACAGAAATTCTTAACTTTGTAATTTTTTTTCCAATGATATAAAATTCGAATTTTCTTTTTCTTTTCGTCAAATTCACAATGTAAATCTTTGAAAATTCACAATATGAATCTAAATTCACTCGGTGAATCTGAAAATTATTTTTCACATTCACAATCTTAAGTTATGAATTTAGATATTTTGGATTTTTTTTCGATAAAGAATAAGCTCCTTGGAGAACCAATATATATATATATATATATATATATATATATATATATATATATATATATATATATATATATATATATATATATATATATATATATATATATATATATATATATATATAAAAGAACAAAACCAAGAAAAATTTTGAAGTCTTGTTTACACATTTATACAACAAACTATAAAATAAGAATGGAAATTCCTTGAACCACCTGTCATTATGCACACATTTGTGAACGATGTGCTGCATATTTTCTGATACTGATTGGTTTTTGTACAACGATTATTGAAATTTTGTTGCAAATAATCAATTTTAGTTGGTTAAAAATACGGAAATCAGTTTTTTATGTAGAAACTTCTTATATATGATGAAATATGTGGAAAACCTCTCTATTAGGGTTACGTGTATTGAGTACTATAAATAAGATACATAATACACAAGGGCACTTATACTATATAAAAGGAAATAAAACAGCCAAAAGTATAATCTGTTTAACACACCCCCGTAATTTGAACTAGGGGATCTCTAATGTTCAAACTATCTCTAAAATTAAGCAATAACTGAGTAGGTAAGCCCTTTGTAAATAGGTCTACAAACTAATATGCTGAAGGAACATGCAAAACACGTATATGATCAATCACAACACGTTCCCCTAACAAAATGTAAATCTATTTCCACATGCTAGGTTCTTTTGTGCTGAATAGGGTTGGATGCTAGATAGATGGCACTGACATTATCACAGAAGACAACAATGGCACAAGAAAGCGAACATGATAATTCGAGGAGAAAATTACGAAGACCAGCAGTTTCAGTAACTACATTAGCTACCCCCCGATACTCGGCTTTGGCAATAGAGCGAGTGACTACAGGTTGCCATTTGGAAGACCAAGAGATTAGGTTATCTCCAAGATAAACACAGAACCCAGAAGTGGACTGACGAGTAGTAGGACACCCGACCCAATCAACATCAGAATAGGAAATCAAGCGATCAACGACTG